CAATTTTAAAATTGATATACGTAATTTATACAAACAAAATTTTTAATTTAATAATTTATTTTTTAAAAAATTAAGTAAAAGATGAATTTTTAAATAAGAAATTTAAAAAATTTTAAAGGAACGACCGCAAAATACTTTTCTTTAACTTATTGATCCATTTCCTTGCGTACATAGATGACATCATACATACATGAACCAACTGCCGGACTGCATGAAGATATGTTTCGAGGCTCTTGATAAGATAACTAATGAAATTAGTAACAAGGTGTCCAAGAAGCACGGATGGAACCTAATACGGTGCGTATCAATTGCAGTCCATGTTATCAAGAGATTTAATAAACATTCACAAAATAGCTCGCGAGTTGATTTCCTCATATGGTGGGCAAGTTTATGCAATGCATTTCTGGTTGAAGCAAAATGGTTTGCTGCAGGGGAGAACCCAGAGCCTGAGGAGTACTTGAAGAACGGGATCATCAGCTCAGGAGTGCATGAGGTGCTGGTACACATTTTCTTTCTGTTGGGTCGAGGTATTACCATGGAAAATGTGGAGTTAGTAAACAACAACCCAGGCATAATATCGTCCACGGCAACAATTCTTCGACTCTGGGATGACCTGGGAAGTGCCAAGTTATTATATCTCACAATCAACCTTTTGCTACATATGTAAAGATAAGAGTTATCTCTTAACGCTTTTGTATAAGCATACTTGTAGGATGAGAATCAAGATGGCCAAGATGGATCTTCTGTGGATTGCTACTTGAAGGAACATCAAGGCATTACAATGAATGATGCACGCGAACATGTTCTGCAAATGATTTCAAAGGCTTGGAAGCAGCTGAACCAGGAGTGCCTCCCTCCAAATCCATTTCCATCATCATTTAGAAAGGCTTCCCTAATATTGCAAGAATAGTTCCCTTAGTGTGCAGTTATGATAAAAATCACCTAAAGTGCATGGAGGAGTACATGAAATCCATTCTCTAAGAAAGGACCTAAACCAGAAAATGGCAATTATGTACCAAGCTACTCATTGTTTTCTCAGCAAACTTAAATTGAGTCCGTCTGAAGATACAAGAATAATATTGGTGTCTTCGAGAAAAACTACTGACTAAGATATTCAGTCGTGTTGACTTAGTTATTTTCACACAATTTTTAGAAAATGTAAAATGCCAAGACAAGCATGAGAAAATGTAAGTAGAATGAAAGAGCGAAAATGGGAAAGCATAAGCTAAAAACCTTCATTGTCAGGGATACAAAACCATGCACACCAAGAGTCCAAGACAAACATGAGAGATGGTAAGCAGAATATGAAAGCACAAATTGAAAGGCATGAGCTCTAATGCACATTGCTGTCAAGATTAGAAGTGATCACCACTGTCAGTGAGAAAAGAGGGAAAAACCAAAGATGATAAGGAATGTATGATGAAACTAGTAGCCAATAAACATTCATGCTGACTAAACAAAAAGTAATTATAAAATAAACTACCCAAACTCAAACTGGAATGGCAAAGCCAATTACTAAAGCTATAGCACTACTATTTTGAAGGCAATTTCAGCCTATAATCATGGTATTTATTTGCCTTCCCAAGCTGCACTAGCTTCTTTGCCTCCTCAATCTTGGAGCATGCAACAAGTTCATCTACCACCTTCTGCAACAATGACTCATCAAAACAGAACTTTTTGCTGAACCTTGTACCAAAAATCTTTTCACACTGCTCAAAGGCAAAATCTACATCACCCTTCTCACAAGCAAATGGAACTAGCAGTTCAAATGTCACTTTATCTGGTGCACAACCATTTTTCTTCATTTCATTATACCACCGCCTAGCTTCCTCAAGATTACCTTCACTGATAAAACCTTCAAACAAAGCATTGAAACTAAACACGTCAGGCTTAATTCCTTTACTCCTTATTTCCCCAACCAGCTTAACTGCCTCCTCTGTTCTCTTTTGTGAAACCAATCCATGCAATTTTGCATTGTAACTTCTAACAGTAGGAGTCACATTCTTCTGCAACATTATATTCCATATCTTCTCCCCATCGACAAACTTACCGTTCTTATAAAACGCATCTAAAAGCGTATTAAACGTAAATTCATCCGGCTCCATACCCTTCTTTTCCATCTCATCTAGCATCAAACTCGCCGAAGCAAAAGAGCCCATCTCACAGAATGCCTTAATGACCGTGTTGTACGAGATTCTATCCGGTTTAATGGACAACTTCTCTGGCAACTCCTTAAAAAGGCTATTAACTTCATCGAACTTGTTTGAGTTTAGACAGGCACCCATAAGGGCATTAAATGACAACACACCTTTAATCGGCATTTCATCGAACACCTTTTGGGCGTGATCGAACATGCCAGACTTACCACACAACCTAATCAGTCTCGCCGCAAACCCTTCTTTAGAGACGCATATGTACTTCCTTTGGTCTTCAATAACTTCTTCTACCAAATCGAAGCGTCCTGCAGATGCGAGGCGGCGGACCGTGTGCTCATAGATGTCGATCTTATCGCGATATTTCTGGTGTTCACATAATTTTTTGAACCTTTGGACGAGGCTCTCCAGGTTACTTTCTCTAAATAGAGCTGAGACAGAGGAGGCAGATTGTGAGGCCGGGGAAAAGGCGTTATGGAGAAGACGGCCGACGGAAGACATCTTGAAGGTATAGGAATGAGAGTGGCTAAGCGCCAGTGGCGAGGTAGGGGCTTCTTCTTCTTCTTTTTTTTTTACCTTTGAAATGGATGCTACAGGCGCAGTGGTGGGCTCACTTGGAATTCAGCACATGGGCCTGTGTTCTCCTGTATCAAATTGCCTATTTTCCAAAAAAAAAAAAAAAATTCAATTAGGGTTAAAAATATTAAGATTGTCCAATTGCAATAATTAAATAAGGACA